AATATTTGATTTTTTTAGTAAACAGTATTAATAATTTTTTATTTGTTTTTGTTGCTATTATTATTACAGTAATAGAGAAGTGGCAATACTAAAATAAACATAAATTAAATAGTAATTTTTTTTTTATTATTGTATTTTCTAAATATAATTTTATATTTACTTTTTTTTTTTAATATTATTATTATATTACTATAGAGAAAAAAAAAATATATTAACCATGATTATAATAGTAATAAAATATAAGTATGGAAAAAAATATTACCTCAGCTTATGTAGGTATGTGCCACAAGCTTTGGTATAATATATTTTGTCATTATTGTATTAGGTGAATGGAGTCACTGCAGAAGTAGTCAGGCTACCTCTCCACTTTAAAACAAGTTCCTAGTCCCCCATCCCCCACCCTACACTCCCCCTGTCAAGACCTTTCCACATGGCCACAGCAAATGGTTCCAGATACCCCAGGCTTAAACAGTCACAGCTGCTGGCCCTGCAGGAAGAACTTTTTTTTTTTGATGCCCTTTAACCCCAAGCTGCCAAGTTGGGGGGTGTGCTGTTATAGGGCTGTGAATAAAAGGGGGGGGGGGGGGGGGGGTGCGCTAGCTTTTGTTGCTTCAAGTGATAATGTTGAGCTTGCTTTGACTTTTTGTTGCTGTCTGTAATGGATTTTAGGAATTTAAAACTATAATATATGGATATACTGTATATGAAACGTACACCATGACTCCCTATGGTCCAATGGGTGCCATTGTGCAAACTGGCCTCAAAATGCAGATTTATGTATTGCCTCATTACCAGACCTCCAATTCACTGGTTATTTTCCAGAGCTGTTTGGGGTTTAGGGGCAGTTCTTATTTCAAGCACAATAATTAATCTTTTTTTTTTTTTTTTTAAATGTACCTAAACCCAAAAATGTAAAATTGCAACTTAATAATCCTTAGATGAGGTGGCTACATTGAATTTCATCTTCTTCCTTTACTTTCACCTGGTGATCCTTCCAGTAGCACACTTCCTGTGCTGAGTGACAACGTTTACTCATTGTACTGTATGGAAGAGCAGAGTTGTCACTCTAGGACAGGAAGGGTGTTAGGACTGACTAGTAAAATTGAGCTTATAATCTAAAGTCTCTATCTCACATACTATGGCCAATTTAGACAGGGGCCAATTAACCTAGCAGCATGTCTTTCGAATGTGGGAAGAAACCGGCATACCCGAAGGAAATCTATGCAAACTTCATGCAGATAGGGCCCTGACTGGGATTGAACTAGGTCAGGGCTGCAAGACAAGAGTGCTAACCACTAAGCCACTGCAATGATACTTTGCAGTCTTTTAAATGGGTATCACACTTCATCGGTCCCCTGTCTTTGGGAGTCCTCTGCCTTTCTGGCTTCATGTTCCTGGGACAGTCTGTGCTCTGCCTGGTTTGCCCCCTGTCCCCGAGATGATTTGTACCTTGCCTGATTGGCCCCCCTGTCGCTGGGATGATTTGTGCCTTGGCTGGTTGACCCCCTTTCCCCGGGACGGTTTGTGCCTTGCACGTTTGGCCCCCCTGTTCCCGGTACGGTTTGTGCCTTGCCCGGTTGCCCCCCTGTTCCCGGTACGGTTTGTGCCTTGCCCGGTTGGCCCCCTGTTCCCGGTACTGTTTGTTCCTTGCCCGGTTGGCCCCCTGTTCCCGGTACTGTTTGTGCCTTGCCCGGTTGGCCCCTGTTCCCGGTACTGTTTGTGCCTTGCCCGGTTGGCCCCCTGTTCCCGGTACTGTTTGTGCCTTGCCCGGTTGGCCCCCCTGTCCCCGGGAAAGTTTTGTGCCTTGCCCGGTTGGCCCCCCTGTCCCCGGGACAGTTTCCTCCCTTGCCCGGTTGGCCCCCCTGTCCCCGGGACAGTTTCCTGCCTTGCCCGGTTGGCCCCCCTGTCCCCGGGACAGTTTCCTGCCTTGCCCGGTTGGCCCCCCTGTCCCCGGGACGTTTTTCTCTTTGCAGGGCCAGCTCCTGTGGGCTCTTTTAGCTTCTCTTTTCAGTTCAGCTTGCGTTTTCTGTTCAGGAAACACAGAAGTGAGTCGATTCCTTGTCCAAAGTGGCTCAGGATGAGAATAATCTTTTTCTACAATCATTTCCTGCTACCAGCCTTGTGATCGGCCTTTAGTGATGCCTACTTCATCCTGACTCACACTGGCCAGATGAGACAGCTCATGATTACCCTTCTCCCTTCAACAGTATCAATTACCGTCCGAAAATTAAGGTTGGGTAATTTTTGTTTATTTTAGGCCATCATCTAAACCAGGTTATCCTAAACCCGGGGAGCCATATATCTGTACGTTTCTTCTGAGAAAGAAGCAAAAAATTTACAGTTTAAAGGAGAAGCGGGATTTTGAAAAGCAGAGTTTTGATTTATAATGAAGCATTGTTACATTCAATAAAAATACCATTTTATTTCCTTTAAGCCAACCAGAGTTCAGCTTTTTATGGAAGTATAGAGAATGCCATTGCTGTTCTCGCATTCCGAAAGTGTTAGTTGCCTGGCTTCAATATTATCAGACCCTGGATCTCGCCCTGCACTCATAACGGGGTTGGCGGATATCCACTGACCGGTCACTTTATTAGGTACACCTGATCAATTGCTTGGTAACACAAATTACTAATCAGCCAATCACATGGCAGCAACTTAATGCATTTAGGCATCTAGATGTGGTGAAGATAACTTGAAGTTCAAACTGAGCATCAGAATGGGGGGAAAAAAGGGGGATTTAATTGACTTTGAACGTGACATGGTTGTTGGTGCCAGCCTGGCTGGTCTAAGTATTTCAAAAACTGCTGATTATTTAGGGTTTTCACACACAACCATCTCTAGGGTTTGCAGAGAATGGTCCAAAAAAGAGAAAATATCTAGTGAGCGTCAGTTGCATGGACGAAAACGCCTTGTTGAGGTCAGAAACGCATGTCAATACGGACCAAAATCTCTAAGGAATGTTTCCAACACCATCTATGCCAGTGGTTCTCAACCTTCCTAATGCCGCGACCCTTTAATACAGTTCCTCATGTTGTGGTGACCCCCAACCATAAAATTATTTACCCAGTAATTATAATTCATGAGTGTCGTTTTACCTCCAATACTGCTGCTTTCAACACAGTAGCTGCTTTTAACAGAGTAGCTGCTTTCAACACAGCAGCTGCTTTCTACACAGTAGCTGCTCTTTACACATCGGAAATATGTGTTTTTTCCAATGGTCTTAGGGGACCCCTGTGAAAGGGTCGTTTGACCCCCAGGTTGAGAACCACTGATCTATGCAATGAAGATGTAAGTTAGATCTGAAGGCAAAAGGGGGTCCAACCCGGGACTAGCAAGGTGGACCTAATAAAGTGGCCGGTGAGTGTATATTGAACTGGTAATTTGAAGGTTCCCGTAGCCTGTTCCTCTGTGCACTCTACCGATCGTTTAAGAGGATCACGTGACTTGCCTGTCCTCAGAAAGTCATAGTCCAGATTAAAGGGAGTTTTTCACAGAACATTGATCTGGGGGGATTTGCTCAAGGCTCTCATGGTTGTAGAGCCAGTTGGGCGGCCAGGAGATGGTGAGCTCTATTGTTTTGGATTTGGTTGACCTGGTAGACTTGTTTGGGAAGGTTTTGAATAGAGCCTCTTGTGTCCCCTGGGGTGGGGGGGGGGGAGATAAAAATCTGTCATGGATGCTGAGAGAGGCCTTGAAAAGTCAACAAGGCTGAATGACCATGGACACGCCTAGTGCAAATGAGTCCCAGTGGTGGACGTGATTGGCACTGCTGACAGACGGCACACACACAGACAACTGCACCGCAGTCAGGCCTGGATCTGGGTCGACGCCATGGGAAAGCATGCAGCTGTGCACCATGCACCAGAGTCTATGGCCATATTAAGAAAGGTTCAGTGCTGAGCACTGGGGGAATAACATTCATGTGACTCCTTTGACTACGTGAATAAATTCGCTTTTACAAATGGTGAACATGTTGGAGACGGTAATACAGGACTGATATTTGCAGGTCATGGGTGGTCTTGCACGCTACAATCTGATTGTACAATCTCATGTACCAATCCATTTTCAATTGCAGAACCCCCTTTATTTATTTAATATTTATTTCAGGTACTTATATAGCGCCATCAATCTACACAGCACTTGACATATATATTGTACATTCACATCAGTCCCTAACCCTCAAGGGGTGTACAATCTAAGGTCCCTAACTCACATTCATACATACACATACTAGGGGCAATTTAGATAGGAGCCAATTAACCTTCCAGCATGTCTTTGGCGTGTGGGAGGAAACCGGAGTACCCAGAGGAAACCCGCACAGGGAGAACATGCAAACTCCAGGCAGGTGGTGCCATGGCTGGGATGCCGTGGCTCCCCGGACCCCGCATTCGCTATATCCGCTCTCCCCGGACCCCGCATTCGCTATATCCGCTCTCCCCGGACCCCGCATTCGCTATATGCGCTCTCCCCGGACCCCGCATTCGCTATATGCGCTCTCCCCCCCGGACCCCGCGGACCCCGCATTCGCTATATCCGCTCTCCCCCGGACCCCGCATTCGCTATATCCGCTCTCCCCGGACCCCGCATTCGCTATATCCGCTGTCCCCGGACCCCGCATTCGCTATATCCGCTGTCCCCGGACCCCGCATTCGCTATATCCGCTGTCCCCGGACCCCGCATTCGCTATATCCGCTGTCCCCGGACCCCGCATTCGCTATATCCGCTGTCCCCGGACCCCGCATTCGCTATATCCGCTGTCCCCGGACCCCGCATTCGCTATATCCGCTGTCCCCGGACCCCGCATTCGCTATATCCGCTGTCCCCGGACCCCGCATTCGCTATATCCGCTGTCCCCGGACCCCGCATTCGCTATATCCGCTGTCCCCGGACCCCGCATTCGCTATATCCGCTGTCCCCGGACCCCGCATTCGCTATATCCGCTGTCCCCGGACCCCGCATTCGCTATATCCGCTGTCCCCGGACCCCGCATTCGCTATATCCGCTGTCCCCGGACCCCGCATTCGCTATATCCGCTGTCCCCGGACCCCGCATTCGCTATATCCGCTGTCCCCGGACCCCGCATTCGCTATATCCGCTGTCCCCGGACCCCGCATTCGCTATATCCGCTCTCCCCGGACCCCGCATTCGCTATATCCGCTGTCCCCGGACCCCGCATTCGCTAATATCCGCTCTCCCCGGACCCCGCATTATATCCGCTGTCCCCGGACCCCGCATTCGCTCTATCCGCTCTCCCCGGACCCCGCATTCGCTCTATCCGCTCTCCCCGGACCCCGCATTCGCTCTATCCGCTGTCCCCGGACCCCGCATTCGCTCTATCCGCTCTCCCCGGACCCCGCATTCGCTCTATCCGCTCTCCCCGGACCCCGCATTCGCTCTATCCGCTCTCCCCGGACCCCGCATTCGCTCTATCCGCTCTCCCCGGACCCCGCATTCGCTCTATCCGCTCTCCCCGGACCCCGCATTCGCTCTATCCGCTCTCCCCGGACCCCGCATTCGCTCTATCCGCTCTCTCCCCGGACCCCGCATTCGCTCTATCCGCTCTCCCCGGACCCCGCATTCGCTCTATATTAGTAAATATAAACTGCTAAATACCTTTTCTCATCAGCAGTAAGAGCAGTCTTGTGACTTCTATCAGTGTCCAGCCGAGCATTGGTTAAAGCTTGTAGGAGGAGTTTTCATTCTGCTCTAGGAGGATGCAGGGCCCCTGCCCTCTGCCTGGACAGTGCTGGTTGGCCCTGTGCTGATCACATGCACTCTCCAAAGAAAAAAAACATCTCAAGCAATACATACCAAACTGAGCATGTGCAAAGTGCCTCCACACGATATGTCTTATCAGGAGAGATAAGAGGGGAACACTGGAAAAAGGGAAGGATCAGAGAAGACAGGATCAAACATTCTTTTTACACATTGCGGGGGCTTAGATGCTGATGGTAAATATGGCGAATAATCGACACAAAAAAATGTTTATTCCAGTTGGTGATTGGGCAGACTCACTACAAATATTATTATTATACAGGATTTATATGGCGCCAACAGTTTGCTCAGCACTTTACAATATAACGGGAGACAATACACGAGACAGTACAGTAACCATACAAAACATGAGGGGATCGAGGGCCCTGCTCTTTCCAGCTTACAATCTAGGAGGGAGGGGATGGTGGCACAGGAGGAGATAGCTGTGGGGGATGGAGTGGTAGGAAGAGTGGAGGAGTTCAGTAATTTAGCTGAGGGTGGGGTAGGCTTCCCTGAAGAGATGGGTTTTCAGGGTGCGCCTAAAGGTGAGGAGAGTAGGTGACAGTCTGATGGATTGGGGTAGTGAGTTCCAGAGAATGGGGGAAGCCCTGGAGGAGTCCTGGAGACGGGCATGGGAGGAGGAGACCAGGGAACTAGAGAGTAGGAGGTCTTGTGAGGAGCGGAGAGGTTGTTTTGGGTGGTAGATGGATATCAGATCGGTGACACATACTAGGGGCAATTTAGACAGGATCCAATTAACCTTCCAGCATGTCTTTGGAGAGTGGAAGGAAACCGGAGTACCCGGAGGAAACCCATGCAGACACAGGGAGAACGTGCAAACTCCAGGCAGGTGGTGCCGTGGTTGGAATTTGAACCAATGACCCTAGTGCTGCCAGGGGGAAGTGCTAACCTTTAAGCCACGTGCTGCCCCATGTGAATTTTATCCGTTGGGCAATCGGAAGCCAGTGGAGGGATTGGCAGAGAGGGGTGGCAGAAGAGGAGCGGTTAGTATTATGGCAGACAAAGCTCTTCTTACTCACGTGTTGGGCTTAAGCAAGCCATAGATGATGCGACTTTCGTTGCAGGAAAAAAAATTGCTCGATTCCCCCATCAGCACTAAATGCCTCCCACAGATCTGTTGTGTTCTGCCAGCGGGGAGCCTTCCCTGCCTGCAGAACACAATGATAATTGCTGGTGGCTATAGCCGCTGGCACGTTAAAAAATTTTGACAGGCTGGTTGTACTGAAATCGATCAATTGATCAACTTTACTACCACCAGCCTGCCCATAGATGGATAAAATCTCAGCTGGTCCCTGTTGAGACTGCTGAGATTCGATCCATCTATGGCCGGCTACTGCTGCAGAACCTCTTCTACCTTTTTTTTTTTTTTCTTCTTTTTTTTTTTATTATCCTAGATGAGGTTGGTTGCACTTGCATGTTAAGTACATTATTGATTGACAAGCTGAATCCCCAAGAGGCTCAGCAACAGCCTTTGTTCCAGTGACCTCTCATCATGCTGCAAATCATTAAAACAATTAGTCTTGAATTGATTGGGTTAATCCATTTAGCTTTTATTACTAGAATATCAGATTGTCCCTTGGTGGGTAGGATCAGTATGTTGTTTTTTTTTTTTTTTTTTTCCCCTAACCCTCCAGTGGCCTGCATTTCATTGTAATCTCACCACTAGGTGGCAGCAAAATGAGAAGGAATCCGCAGGCGACCTTTGCTGACCTCGCTTTGTGAAAATGCTTCTTTCCCGGCTGTCATTCTGATTCGGTGGCATCGATACTTTTGAGTCACCATACTAAAACAAGTGTGCATGGCAGGAGTTTTGACTTCACTTGCTACATGCTTATTTGGGATCCATGAGTGTTGCAGTAATGTGATAATAGAGAAATATTTTTCTCGGCGGTAGGTTGCTTTGACTGAAAGTTATACATTCCTGTATGATTCATTAAGTGTTCATCTTTTTCTTCTTCAGTAGTCATTAAACATGCAGGAGCCAATTAACCTACCAGCATGTGTTTGGAGTGTAGGAGGAAATTGGAGTACCTGGAGAAAACCCGGGGAAGCACAGGGAGAACATGCAAACTCCATGCAGATAGTGTCCCGACCAGCAGTTGAACCATGGACCCCAGTTCTACAAGGCAGGAGTGCTAACTACTAAGCCCAAATCTAAATGATGTGTTAATGTTCTGTTGTTATATTTTTAAAGCTGCATCCTAGATTGTAAGCTCCCAGGATCAGGCCCTCCTAACCCTCTTGTCACTGGTGTATTTAGGTTTCATACTGCCCTAGGCAACACAAAATGTGGCTCTCCAGCCCCAAGGAGAGACCCTGACCAACACCCCCCATATACTGGCAACCCCCCCTCCTGCAAGAGAGGAGACACTTACCTTTACAGCTCTGGACATCCCCGGGAACAAGAGTCAGGCTCTGCATACACCATCAAGCAGCCCGCAGCCTCTCTCAGATCCCACCTAGTCCCCGTGCTGCGTGTGTCCCTTCTTCCATCCCTTCTTTTGGGGGGTGGCGCTGCCCTCTTGAAAAATGCTGCTGCCCCCTTGAAAGCTGCCGCTGCCCCCCTGAAGAATGTCGCCCTAGGCAATTGCCTTGTTTTGCCTTGTGGTAAATACAGCCCTGCCTCTTGTATTGAACTGTATTGTTGCTGTATTGTCTCCCGTTATATTGTAAAGCGCTGAGCAAACTGTTGGCGCCATAAATCCTGTATAATAATAATAATATATATAAATCCTGTATAATAATAATAATAATAATAATAATCTTGCCTTAAAATAATCCCTAGGGATCCTGCCATGAAGGTCCTTCTTCAGGGCCTTCCTGTTATAAATTCAAATGTAAGTGCAGCGCTGCACTTACATTTGAATTGATTACTGTGGGTTTGTTACCTTGCCTTTTTGTGCTAGTAGCTACGTTATTATCTGAGCTCCCCTTATATCTTGTGTTCTACTTCCTGTTATAAGGTGACAACGCTGTGGCCCTGCCTTTTAATTGTGCTCTTGTGTTGTCACCTTATCACATGGACTTCCCATGGAGTCTGTAAGTGGCTGTTTAATATAGATTACACAGCCATGGTCCATTGTTGTCACTATCAGAAAAACCCACACTGAGAATTACCATGCAGCCCTGCTATGGAGGCAGGAGGTGACTGTAAAGAGGCTGCAGGGGATCAGCAACACTGAGATGCAGCAAAAGGATGAAAAAAGTGGGGGAAAAAAGGCTTACTAAAAAATAAAAAAATAAAAAAACAGAAAAAGAAAATCCTTTGAATACCCTGTGATTTAGTAAACTAAGAGCCATTTAGAGGGTTCACTGGGCATTGGCTAGCTGCTTGAGATATAGTGCGTGCGCGTGCATATATGTATGTATATATATTATAATTTTTTTTTTTTATATTTTAATTTTAACAAAATCTAATATTTAAAAAAAAAAAAATTATATATATATTAAGAAAATATTCACAATAAAAAAATGTAAAAATAAAAATTCATATTATAAAAAATTTAAAAAATTAATATTAAATAAAAAAAATTCTACATATATTTTTTAATATATACAATTTAACATGGTTGTGTGTATGTATGGATGTGTGTGTGTGTATGTATATGTATGTATATGTGTGTATATATATATATATATATATATATATATATATATATATATATATATATTATAATAATTTTTTTTTTAAGTATTAGATTTTTTCAAAATTGTATATATTAAAAAAATATTCATATCAAATACAATTTTTTCATATATATATATATCATTATCTATCCTGAACTCAGCGGCCAGACTCATCCAGCTTACCAACCGCTCCTCTTCTGCCACCCCCCTCTGTCATTCCCTCCACTGGCTCCCGATTGCCCAACGCATTAAATTCAAACTACTAACACAGACATACAAAGCCATTCATAACGCTGCCCCAAACTACCTCACCGACCTGATACCCAAATACCACCCAACCGTACTCTTCGCTCCTCACAAGACCTCCTACTTTCTAGCTCCCTGGTCTCCACCTCCCATGCCCGACTGCAGGACTTCTCCAGGACTTCCCCCAATCCTCTGGAACTCACTACCCCAATCCATCAGACTGTCACCTTCCCTCCTCGCCTTTAGGCGCACTCTGAAAACCCATCTCTTCAGGGAAGCCTACCCCTGCCCTCACCTAACAGCCGATCTCCTCCACTCCTCCTACCACTCCATCCCCAAAGCCAGTTCCTCCTGTACCACCATCCCCTCCCTCCTAGATTGTAAGCTCCAAGGTGCAGGGCCTTTGAACCCCTCGTGTTTGTCTTGTTACTGTATTGTCTCATGTACTGTCCCCCACTATAATGTACAGCGCTGAGCAAACTGTTGGCGCTATATAAATACTGTATAATAATAATAATTAAACAAGGCAATATGTCTTTTGATAAAGACCTCATACGTGCTGCAATATTTAACTTATTCATTGCCAGGCCTGGGGTCTAAACAGGGGAATTGGGTGTCTGTGATCACATTAAGCCCTGTTCCAGCGATTCGGATTCTCGGCGTTCGGGCCTGCGGGGGGAAATCTTATTGAATACAGCTATGAATAGTTAATATCATACACACATCATCACTCTGCTGAGTGCCGGCTGAAAAGGCTGCTTAACATCCCAGACATCTATAGACTTCGATTGTTTTCCAGTCATTATACCGCGTTCTCGCTGCCGCAGCAACCTGTGTCGCCTTATACGTAGTACGTTTTCATATAGAATAAGGCCTTTGCAAACAAACAAAAGAAAAAAAATTTATTTTTTTTATTTTACATTTTTGGTTTATTTGGGTAGTTTTAGACTCATGCATCTGCATTTTCATTCAGTTTCCTTTGAAGTCTATGTGGCTGTGAGTGCTGTAAAAGAAATGCCCGCATCTTTTTTTTAAGTGGCAGGGATGAGCGTTACATAGGTGTGAATGGCCCTCATAGACAATAGTGGGATTCCACATTCATCATGTGTATTCTTCCTGCAATCTTGGGGTGCTTTTGTGTACTTCTTCCAGATCTGTGCAGTAATCCAGTGTGAGACTTTGACTTCCTGTAATAAAGACCGCTCACTGCTGCTCTCTCTCCTTATGTATGGTGACTGGTCTTGTGTCCGCCCCCTTCTGCAGTTTTCTGCAGAGAGCCTGTAGTGGGTGTGGTCTTCTGGGCCCCTCCCCCAGCTTTGTTCTGCACAGACTTTGTACAGCAAAATGGTGATGTCACTGCTACTTTTGTATAATAAAATCTGGGTTTGCAAAGGCAGTGCACACAAAGTGGATTTGTGCCCTGCGTGACTTTTGGGGAATTTGTTTAAATGAGCGTTTTTGTGTCTGGGGTTCAGCCTTAAACTACCTAATGGAGTCCTGTGCTGTATTGGTGGGGATCTCTGCACATATGATGGGCTGTTATTATAGGTTTCTGTTCTGCAAGTTTTGTTTGCCATTATGGAGAATACTACAGAAATGGGAACCGCTCTAGAACCTATAGAATGTAGTCTGGCACAACCCAACAGGTTCCACCTATAACTAAAATGCCCCTTTTGGGTGGCTCTAGATCAGGGGTCTCCAGTCTAGGTCCTGTGGGCGACATCTGCCCATTACAAGATTTCATCCGGCCCTCAGATCAAGTCAGTGGCGCATCCTCAACATGCACTGATTAAAGATTAAGATCAGCAGCATTCTATGTGTCTGATGTAAGGGGGGGGGGGGGGCTCTGGGGGACCCTGATGTCAGGGGGTCTCCTAAGGCAGACTCTGATGTAAAGGGGGTTCTGATGGGGAACCCTGATGTAGGGGCGGGACTTTAATAGTATGTAATGTGAGACTCCTAAGTCAGACTCTGGTGGGCACGTGATTGTAAGGGGGGATTCTGATGGGGATGCCAATGTAAGGGGGATTCTGGTGGGCACGCGATTGTAAGGGGGGATTCTGATGGGGATGCCAATGTAAGGGGGGATTCTGATGGGGATGCCAATGTAAGGGGGATTCTGATGGGGACGCCAATGTAAGGGGGATTCTGATGGGGACGCCAATGTAAGGGGGGTTTCTGATGGGGACGCCAATGTAAGGGGGGTTTCTGATGGGGACGCCAATCTAAGGGGAGATTCTGATGCGGCGCCAGTGTAAGGGGGGATTCTGATGGGGCTGCCAGTGTAAGGGGGGATTCTGATGGGACGCCAGTGTAAGGGGGGATTCTGATGTGGGCGCCAGTGTAAGGGGGGATTCTGATGTGGGCGCCAGTGTAAGGGGGGATTCTGATGTGGGCGCCAGTGTAAGGGGGGATTCTGATGTGGGCGCCAGTGTAAGGGGGCGTTCTGATGGGGGCGCCAGTGAAGGGGGGATTCTAATGGGGA